ACCCAAAATTAGTGAACAGAAAAAACTGTTCAAAAGTAAAGGTCAAATCAAATAAAAATAAAGTCTGCGAATGCTTTGCCAGTATCAGTGCTAAAAGACACAATCCTGAGAATATGGTCTGTCCAACATTATTAACTTCAGGGCAATTTCTCTTGATGCATCTGTGAAGTAACTGGAAAAAAACCCATCCCTTTGCTCCCAGCAGCCACTTTGTCAGATCACTCCAGAAAGCACCAAACCTTCTGTTTCTGGTTCTGCCATCACTGCTCAGCAGCCAGAGCTGGGGGTGCAACCTGGCGCAGTGACAGGCGACTTGCATGTTCCTGGTGCCTGAGAGAGCAGCACCAGCTGTAGCAGGCTCTCTGAAAGCTTCCACATGGGAACTTGGGAGAAAGCACTGTTTCTGGGTTGATCTAGGGCACTGAAATAAACAGAGCAAGAACTCCTCTGGAAAAGAAATGCCTCTTGGGGTAACATAGGACAGACATCAATTTTAATAGCTTCTTTGCAGAAATACAATAACCAAAATAACACATTTGGGAGATTCTCACACTGTTTCTTTATACTCAATTGTTTCAGCTAAGTTTTCCCTTTAAAACATCCCTAAGGCCTTCCCCCTGAAAACATACCGCAAAAATGTGAATATTAGTAGCCTGAAATCAAATTGAGACAGCTAAGAAGAGACTAGAAACTAATAGATCATAAAAAATCTCCTACGATTTAGGTGAGTGTTGGTCTTGATAACTTCTAAAATTTTACAGGTTGGTTTGGTTTTTTTATCCCTGTAAATCTCCACAGCAAACAACTGACAATCTTCCCTCTTCAGAGGGTACTCCCCTGAAGTTATTAGGATGCTACTTTTATCACAGACAAAATATAATTAATGACTGTAGGGAAAAACCCATAGTAGATGTCTGTTTCTATGTGGTCAGATAACATCCCGTGACCAGAGTGCTCTGGTACTTCGACTTCACTGCCAGCTGTGTATCAGTCTGAACCATTACAAGAAGCAGCCAAGAGCTGGAAGTTGCACAGGTGCTTCTGCACAGTGCAAACTGCAAGGCAGCAGATGCTGCCATGTTCAGCGGCATGTGGCGGCAACCTGTAGGGCTCTACTTTGCTCTACTTGGAAGCAGGATGCAGACACCTCCTTCCCCCTCACCGTCTACAGAAACACACTTTATCTTCCATAGCATTAGCAAAGGATGATTTAGTTTCAGTGTGACTTAAGCCAGTACTGGAACTGACCTTTATGAGCAGAAAACAGCTGAATGATCCCAAGAAACGTCTCTCCCCTCGGTGCCCTTAAAAACAGCTTAGCACATATGGCAGCGATGGGTGAAGACTCCAGGCCCAGCTACTTTCAAACAGAGCAATGTTCATAATATTTTTCATTAAGTAAGAGCACTACTGGACAATCAGAAAGTTTCTCTGTGTCACTGCAAAAATCTTACCTAAAGGAAAGGTATGCAAGGAAGGTACTCTTCACTAAATATTCCCTGTAAAGGAATTCATATAGAGTTCTCACTCGTCACATTTGTTTTAAATAATGTGTGGATTAATTTACAGGTTACCCTTTACTAAAGGAACCTGGAAAGGGGTTTTGTTCTGTGCCTTCAAGTTCTAATCCAGATGTGCGCTTAGAGTTGCAAGTGTAACTCAGATTCTGACAGTATCAGATACTGACAAGTATCAGTTTGCAGGGCCATCCTTCACTGGTGTTACCAAGTACAGGTGTGTTGATACCATCAACATCCCGTTCCTGTGGTGTAGCTGATCACTCATCAGGAGGCACCCTCATCATGGAACTTTCTCCGTTACAGAGTAGCCAAAGGCTTCTTCCTCTGCAACAGGGCTGCCCTTCAGTAAATTTTTCCAGCAGGACTTTTGCAAATAACCATTTCTAACCTTTCTTGCCCCAGAACTATTCTCTGATTACATATCAACGGATTTATGTAATTTGCTGGGTCTACCTCAAAGGGCAACCTTCTAGTTCATTTTGGGACAACCAATGAAACAACCCCAGTGCCACCTCTTCCCTGGAGTTGGCTGTCCCGTCACGATACCCCAGCCTTGCTTGTGTGCTGTAGGAACTGAGCTGTTCCCTGGTCCAGTGGTGAGAGGGACCCCAAACACAGCTGGCAGCTAAATCTTTCCTGCCTTTGAAGAGCATGACCCTTCTACTTGCAACCACATCTGCTGAATTCAGTTACTCATAACTTGGAGAACTAAGCCTGAATCATATGTTGTGTTTTGGGTGGGTTTTTTTGCATAATCACAGTGCAGATGGCCTAAAATGGAAAAAAACTCGACCATTTATTGTACATACAAGTACTTTTAATCAGACCCCAAATTAACTTCAGAAATGTGCTGCCACATTTCACAGATGCAAGACATTCTAAAATAGCTGAGACCAGACTTGAACACTGGCTTCATCTTAAAACACTGTGCATTTTGCTTATTCAAGAAATCAGATGATTCTCTTCTACACAAAGTTTTAGACCTCAAGCCAATATGATCATCTTATTTTAGAGATATGATGTTCCAGGACAAGTTCACAGTATTTTGAAGTTGCTTAGTAGAGATTATGATAGAAATTTAAACAAGAAAATATAACATTTCTTGAAGAAATCAAAGCCACTTACAAGAAGACCACTCACATTACTATTAAATTATGCTTTTATCTTCCACCAAAAAAAAATCCTCCTTAACAACAGCATAAAATTCTATTTGTTTTAGAAAAGAATATATCAAATAACATTTGCACACTTTATTTCAAAATCTTTTGTTGTCTCAGCTCTGTAGCAATACTCCAGTACAGGTTAAGACTTGTACACTAGGAGATCAATGACCGTCATGTAGCAAACTTTAAAAAGGCAAGCCAAGTACAAACCCTCTTTTGAGATGTTTTTTTAATGTAGACTGAGAACAGTAGGCATGAAACATCTATACAGCAAACAAACATAAAACAACTATGCCATTTTCCCCTTATTCATCTCAAGAGTTTTTGATCTGGCAACTGGAAAAAAACCTTCACGGTGCCAGGTGGGGAGGGCACATTTCTAACTAAACAGTATGGATGTACGAAGAGTCATAGTATTTAAATACACATGACCCTCTAAGACCACTTCCATTTCCTTAGTGGCAACAGCACACTAGTTAGAGGAACACTCGGTGATACTAATCAACACTGAACACATAAAAGGGACAGTAACCCCTACTTTGTCCCAAAGTGATCTATAAAATAGGCCTCCCCCTCTCTCTAACTGGCTAAATACTGATCTTGCATATATTTTCACACGGTGTGAGGAACTACTGAGCCACTAGAGCCTTCCAAGAAGGACTAAGGAAAATAATTGCTGACTGGAACCCAAGGTACATCTATCCTACACTGTAAAATTAGAGTAGAACAGCCTGTAAAAGTGCAGCATGTTAGACAAGATCTTACAAAAACTACACACTGCAAATAACACATGCATCTGCAAGGCAACTACACACCAACTATAAGCAGGATGGAAGCATAGGACAAAAGTAAGAATTCTGCCTAATTATTACTATTATTAAAATTTGAAACTTAAGCTTCAAGAACTCTTCACAAGTTTTTATAATGGCTTTAGATGTATTTAGAACATTAAATGTCAAGCTGTCAAGGAAGTTTAACTAGGATTTTTAAAAGATACAGAGACAGAAACAATGTTACAAAGGTCTTGCAGTCCAGGAATCTAAGTTAATAAAAACAGACTTCAGAGATAAATGTATTTCCCAAGGCAGATTTTTTTACTGCAATTCCCTCCTCTCCAAAGCAAAATGCTTTTCATTTAGACTGTGCAAGAATGCAGTGCAGGAACCAAGGTTTAAGCAAAGCCACTGAACCAATGAATAGCGCAAACACACACACACACACACACACACAAACCCCTTTTCCACACAGATTCCTCTTTTCAAAGGTTCTCCCACTTTAGAAAATTATCTGCCCATCCCTGTGCTCCTCATGCTCATCTGTGAGACACACGGTCAAATTTAGCAGGTGATGGTCAAGGGCCTGATAATTTACACAGCAAGAGGAAGTAGGCAGTTTACAGATTTAAATTACTAAATCTCATATTCTACAAATAGAAACTGCTGCCACTGTTTGGCAAGTGAGGGTTTCATTGCTCATAGCTGCATTAAGTAGATGCAAACTCAGAAGAGTCAGTTTAATGAATTTATTTATGCAACACCTTACGCCAGTGTATCAACTCAGAGTCAGCTACAACAGCCTAATTAACTATGTACAAGGCTGTGAATTTGAAAAACAGTTTCTACATCCACTAACAGCTTCTGGTTAAGCCTAAGTATCACTAAGAAGGCTATCTTGATTTGCAGGTCTGAAGGACACAGACTTCACAACATTCCAACAAAAAAACCCCACCACTCTTTGCAGTCTGAGCTTGGCCAGCCTCAAGTCCTACTAGTGAATTTCAAAAGTGTTTTCTGTTATAAGCTCTCTTTTCCTGCCTTGACAATTACAGGCCACATCCCTTACCGTTGGCACAGATGAAAGACTGAAATCTGCCTTCATTGTGAAAACAAATTTTCATGGCAGTACTTTAAATAGTTCTTTTCCAAAGCCTTCATTTTCAGCATTCTTGAAATGTGAATACGTATTCCAAGTAAGTTTAACTTTGACAAAGAAGTTTCAGAGTAAGATAAAACATGAAATTGTAGAAATCTTTCATCTAGAACATAGAAAGAGGTTTGGACTTCTAACAAGGCTAACTACAATCTGAGAGACACTGTTTTGGTTTAAAACACTCAAGGACAAAAATTTCTGTTTTTCTTCTAGAAAGATTACATGGTATGTTGCCACAACAAATCTCATCTCTTTAAACTTAAAATGTGTTACTTCTTACTTTCTCTCAATTTTGCCCTTCAAAGGTCATAACACAAGCATCTCCCCTAAAGCACAAAAACCAAGCCACCCATCAACTGCAAGAACAGATTTTTAAATGAGGAGGACGAACAAAAGGTTTTTATTTTTTATTCCAAGAAGAATGACTATGGAGAAATGACTCAAGCTTAGGTAGTAGAAATTAATGGAATGCCATCTGAAATGAAGACTGACTCAGTAACACGAGATCTGCTAGTCATTCGTTAATCTCCAATTCAAAGCCCACTAGAAGTAATCATGTAATATCAGGGAAATAGGAGAAGATGCTTGTTTTTCCTCTTGGGCAGAACAAGCTTTAAATGGGAACATCGTTTTTTCTGGCATATGATAAAATGAAAATCACAAAGTGCTATGTACCCCCAAAAGATTAATTACTTTAGCACCTAAGAATCAAGACTAGATAAACCTGCAGTAGAATGATTTTATTCTGCTTATCTGCAAGACTTGCATAAGACTTATTTCTGGTTTTTTCATTTGGTGTGTAGGTATTTTGCATTTTGCAGCAGCCATTCCCTCCTCCTGAACACATTATACCTCAATAGTTACAATGTTCTGGAACATCCTTTCTGTTGAACAATTAAGATCTGTAACACCAGGCAGAATTTGTGGGGACTGAGAGACTGGACACTGGATTCTCACAGGTGGAATTGTCTAGGCCAGATGGAGAAAGAAACTGTCACATAATGCTCCCCTAATTGTTGCTAGTGCCATAAGGGTTCATATCTGAACTCAGAAATCTAAAAAAAAAAAAAAAAAAAAAAAAAAAAAAAAAAAAAAAAAAAAAAAAAAAAAAGTTCAAATGAGTTAAAGGTGAGCATTTCTGTTTAGAAAGGCAAATCTGAATAGGAAATAAAGTACAGACAAATGTGATATTAAGTAATATACTTTTGCCTATTCTTGAGGTTTACTTAGGTAGTCATCAATTTTTTTTTTTCTGGCTAAATTACTAGTAAGTGTTAGCAGTAAATAAATGTCTCTTTCTTCCTTTCCAGAGAATACATGGTATTACATAATGTTTCTTAAACATTTCCACTATTGTTGCAGTTTTGCAGCTCATCATATTTTGAATTGCTTCAGAGAAAATTTCCATGTCTATCTAAAAAGGAAGACAAGATCTGCATTTTTCACCAAATGAATTAATTTCATTCTTCAAGAGACATGTCTTACAAGCAGAATACTCAATGGCTTAGTTAACTAAACTAGATTAAATGCATGGTGGAACAAACCTATTATAATTTCCAATAACGCTGAATTAATTGCCTTCTAGAAAAGTAGACTAAATCAGCTTTCTGTAGTATCACCCAAACTCCACTACAAAACTCTCTAAATCAACTTTTAATCCCAACAGAACTTTTCATACCATGAAAAAGGTCAGTGTAGAGCCTGTTCCCTTCCTTACTCCTGCAGCTAACAGTACAAGCTCATTAAAGCACTCTGCTTGTCAACATCAAATGCAGAGTCATGGCCAAATCAATGTCTTCCCTCCTCACCCAGTGACAATATCCCATCCACTTCCTTCAAATATTTTGGGAGTGCTGTATAAGACCTAGATATTTAGCACATTCTCAGTAACAGTAGCCTTAAGTTCAGCTTATTTCACCCCTACTATGCTTCTCACTAATACCTCATAGTCACTGCAATAAATATTAGAGAAGATTCAGTTACTTAGTGAACAATTTATGACTTACGCTGCTATTAAGATACACCTACGCTACAGACCTTAAAGCTCTAGTCTTACAGCTACAGGATAAGATCATATCAAGCTAAATCTACTGATAATTCAGCTAATACTTCATCATGTAGATTTTCCAATTTCTTCAATCAGCAGTGAGCTACACTTGCCATAAAGCAGCTCAGCCATTCTTCAGCAAGGCTGCCGTGCTAGTTTAAAACTTCAGCTAAAGCATTTCAGATATGCCAGAAAACGTATGAACAAACTTTTATTTTTAAGCAACAACACACACTATTTGAATACAACTCACACATTTAAGTCAGGTGGAGAGTACTAAACTGAACAATCATCACTAATACATTTCCATTGGAAATGTGGTAAAGTTCACAAGTGTCTTCGTTACCACCTTACTGAAGTTTTCTTATGTGTTTCTAGTCTACACACCACCTGTTTGATGCAGTCATGCAAATCTGAATCAAATTGTAAATGTTCAGGTAACAGGGAAGTCCATTCACTGCAAAGATTCATTTTTTACAGAAGAGCCAGGTTAGGTAAGACCAATACTGCAGGATTCTTCATAAGTGTACAGGTATATCAGAAACCATGAACTTTCAGTTGTTCTTCCTTGACAATGCCAATCTAAAGAAGAAAAGCAACATGTTTTAGTAAAGCTTACATACTTAGAGTATTACAGCAATATCAAGTTACCACAGTCTTATACTTTGATTAAAGAAACTGCTACACAGTATATACTCAAAAAACATTCTTCTAGTTCCCAGAATGTTTGTGGGCCAGCCAAGCAAAAGAACTGACTACACAAAAAGAAAATCTTATCAGGTATCTAATTTCTTCTACAGTCTTAGCCCTTATTCTTTGACAGTGTAACAACTCTGCATTGTGATTTGTATCACTAAGCCTCTTTCCCCTATAGTATTTTGAGTCTCACAGTTATGGTTTGCATCAAACACTTGATTTTACAAACGAAGAGCTCAAGTTGCACTGCCAGAGAACAAGTGGTGTGTTGTGACAGGGTAAAGCCATTCCACAGTGCTTTGACTCTTACCAGAGGTTTATTCTCACTGTGCAAGCACCAGTTTACTTTCTGGCTTAAAATACAAAGGAACTATAGTGGACATCTTTAACTGGCTAATTAGCATCAGTACTACCTGTCACTCTACTGCTTCCAGAGAGGTTTAGATATTTATCTGCAGTCTCTCACCTCCAAGAGAAATTGGCAAATGTTCTTCCTCTGGTCACCTTGCAGCTGGATAACTTCACCGTATTCAGGATGTTCAATCACAGTACCATTACAAGCAAATTTCTAGAGAGAAACATTCGTATTGTAAGACATCTGATGTACATACATCATGATTTTGTTTAGTCAGCCTTTTCAGGAGAAATTTGTCTCAGAAGCTGCTTACTAAATTTTGATGACAAGCCAGGCAAAGGCTAAATCTATTTTACTGGTTTTGAGAGCAAATGGAATGTATGTGCTGATGCATGCATACACAAACTAAGCTGCTGATGATGGTGAATTCAGGCAATGACAGGATTAGCTACTGTGCAGAAGGAACTAGTCAACAGTCATTGCAAGGACGGAAAACAAGGTCCTAAGATACAGCCTTTCAACTCCATACTATTTTAAAACACGTATTTTTATCCCAGCAAAATTAAAGGTTTCCACTTTAAACAGCAACCCAGCTGTTAACAGAGGCAGGAATGCAAAACCAGTTCTACTTTAAACTGGTTTTATTCTTCACATCAACAAAGCCACATACATGGGAAATTTTAACAAAGCATTCAGAATATATTTTATTTACTTCTTTATAGAATAGATATATTTCACTTCTTAGCAAAGATCAGTCTCACTAAACACTGATAGGTGTTTTGAGGAAGACAGTGAGAGGGATCAACCTGAATATGAAAGTGATGTGCATTGCCAAGAATGAAATAAAACAAGCATTCTGTTACTTAGTATTAAAAGCTATCATACTCCTTTATACATTTTTACTATCAAATCAGATCAGAAGCTTTACCTTTTTGAAAGCTTTCACAAGTTTCTTCTTGTCATAATCATCTGCAATTCCCTGAACAGTTGTTAGTGTCTTTCTTCCGTTTCGTTGCTGGATCCTTATATGAATGTAATCCTCAGTCCCCGCCGGGAGTAAGTCGTCGCCCTTTGTTGCATCAGCAAAGGGGTCTGCAGGAGGCAAAAAGATTCATGTCATTCCCACAGAGGAAAACACCCAAGCTCAAAACTAACCAGGAAGTTTCTCACTTCACAACATTTATTGTTACTTATGGGATAATCCTGATGTTTTCTCTCTGTTTAAAAACACATTCTCTGTGTTTAAAAACACGCTGTTAAAATCAGAGCGCTTTTTTCTACAGCTGTATCAAGTCTCATTCGGCTACCTACTCAGGACAGCACTCTCAAGTACTGTGCATCCAGTTTCTTCAATGCCTTCCCAGATATAAACAATTTCCTGCTATCAGTTTACTTCACTGTTTCTTGCAAACTGTAAATCCTGCAGCTCTGAACTTGAAAACATGGTTCTCAGAGAACGCCAAGTGCAGATAGGTTTTAGACGGTCACAAGCCTTTAAAGTGAAATAAAGCAATTGTATCTGTTAACAGATCAACTGGTAAGTACAAAGAATTAAAAAAGCTCTAGTACACACACTCCCTTTACAGGTCCAGAAGAGAAGTCTTGTACTGTGACAACTACCACTCTACCAGCACTTCAAGGCATGGATGTAATTCTTGGCTACTAATAGAGACAAAACACAGACACACACCAACAGATGTCAGAGGCTGTCTGTAAACCAGTACTCTTCCAGTCAGCTTTAGGTGAGAATTGAAACAAAATTAATTTAGGCTTTGGCTACAGAAATGTCAGTTCTCAATTTCTTCCAAGCTTAAAATTTATCTAGCACAGATGAAAGGCATTTAGGAAGAAGGGGGTTTCTTCATTAATACCACTTAATCTCTGTATTTCACAAAAACTTATTTAACACTCCATCAAGAAATTTTAAAGATCTGCAAGTCTCCTGATCAGAAGCTCCAAATAAGCCTTTAAGCATGAAGTACTTCATTACTTTTTAAGATGAATCACAAGTAATTTTTTATACTGATCAGAATGATACTGAAGAGTCCATGTAGGTTCAACAGCCATGCCAACTAAAATTTCCCAGACTTCCATCCAAAACTCAGACCTAAAAGCACCGATCAAGTTTTGCTATCTACTCAAAAGAAATGCCCCAAATGAGTAAAACTTCAGTAGACCTGCAAAAAGCAGTCGTTCATCTGCAGACTGACAGACCTTTGTAGAAACAAGAATGACAAAAGCATTAATGGAACTGAACGCAGGATGAGGATTCAAGCAGAGAAGTACAGCACCGGGAATCTTGAGTAGTTTAGCTTCTACTAAGGCATTTGTTTAACCATGGTGAATGTTACTGTGCCCCACAACTTGTGGGGCAAACACCAATAAAAAATTTTAGTCAAAGAAAAAGTGAAAGGAAAAGAGGACTTGGGCACTAAGATCACATGGCAGAGTTTTAGGACACTAGGGTGGAGATAAACCAAGATCACTAGCAGAGTTTAGGGCTCTAGGCTGGAGATAAGCCAGCACTTTAGGTGTTAACACTGGGTGTTAACACGGCTTATACGTGCAGAAGATTAGAGTCCAAGCTGCGACCGAAAGTCTAACGAAATTACTGTATAAACTGCTAACTTGCTCACTTCTGCTGCCTACAGATAAGGGAGGCGCCTGGCACGGTTAAACTTCCCTGCTGATACAAAAGAAATTACCTGCCATCTGCACAGCTCAGTCTACAGAAACACTAACCTCTGCAGGTTTTGGGACACTACTAAGGATGAGATGAGGCAGCAAATCAACAAGCAATTGGAACTGAGGAAATCACCCCCTTCCTCAGCAGAGAATGCGAACCCTTGATAGGGGGTGTCGGAGCAGGGAACATGGCAGCATCTCCTAGGGGAGCAGCGAGGGGCTGAGCCCGCCGCCCCGGCTTCTCTCCGCTGCACACCCCGAGCACGTCCCGAGGCCGGCGGCACGGGAGGACAAGGATGAGCCGCCGGCGCTGCCTCACGGAGCAACGCGGGGACGGCGACACCCGCTCAATGTCACCGCGGGGGCACCGGGGCCTCGGGAACGCGGCGGCCACGAGGGGGTTTGCTGAGGGGGTGGCTGCGGGGGTGGCGGGGGTGCCGGCGGCTCTTACCGAAGGATTGGAGGTTCTGGATCGAGGACATGCGACTCTGCGGCGAGAGGCTGGAGCTGCGGGGAAGCGAGTCCGCTCGGGTCACGTCTCCGGCTCCGCAGTGCCAGGAGGGGGCGGGGCGCGGGAGGGAGCGAGGGGTGGGGTAACAACAGCAGAGGAACGCGGCGGGGGGGGGGGGGGGCGAACCCGAGAGGGAGGGCAAGAACAAAAGGAAGGAGTAAGAGGAGAAGGAAGCGCGAAGAGGAATAAAACGGGGAGGGAGGGACCCCCCGCCCCTCGCCCGCACCGCCCCACGGCACCGCTAACGGGCACCGCCCTCCGCGCTCCGCACAAAATGGCCGCCCGCACGTGACGGAGCCGCGGGAGACCCGTTCCCAGAATCACGGAGTCATTCGGGTTGGACACCGAACGTTGTGACCCAACACCGCCGTGTCAACCGGACCACGGCACTAAGCGCTACGTCCAGTCTTTCCTTAAACACCTCCAAGGGTGGTGACTCCACCACATCTTCGGGCAGCCCATTCCAACGTCTAATCACACTTTCTGTGATGAAATTTTTCCTAATGTTCAGCCTCAACCTCCTCTGGCACAGCTTAAGACTATGTCCTACTGCCAGTTGCCTGGGAGAAGAGAGTGATCCCCACTTTGCCACAATGCCACAAGTTGTAGAGAGCAGTAAGATCTCCCCTGAGCCTCCTTTTCTCCAGGCTAAACAACTCCGGGTTCCTCAGCCGCTCCTCATCAGACTTGTGCTCCAGACCCTTTACCAGCTTCATTGCCCTTCTCTCTGGCACCTCAGTGTCCTTCCTCACCTCAATCAGCTGGGGCCCTGACAGCACCACTGGCAGGTTGCTGGAGCCCCTTGCTCTCCACCCTGATGGCCCTCAGGGACCCCTGTGCCCCGGCAAATGTCAGCCCCATGGAGGTGAAACAAAGAGGCCTCTTCCGTGCTTGCATCCCTTTGGCTTGGGCGCTTTTTAAGCTGATCTGAAATTGAGAGACCACTTTCCCTTTCCCCACTAAAATACATTGCAAACGCCCCTCCTTCAGGCCTCCCTTCCCTGGACAAAGTGCTGCTTTAGATGTTGAATATGCTGAGGGAGGCACTCCGTGCCCCACAAACAGCCTGTATCTCCACTTTGGGTACAACTTGGAAACGCAAGAAGTTCCACCTCAGCGTGGGAGGAAGAACTTTCCACTGAGGGCGGCAGAGCACTGGAACGGGCTGCCCAGGGAGGTTGTGGAGTCTCCTTCTCTGGAAACATTGAAAACCTGGGTGCATTCCTGTGTCACCTGCCTAAGGTGACCTTGCCTTGGCAGAGGGGTTGGACTGGATGATCTGCAGAGGTCCCTTCCAACCTTAACAGTCCTGTGATTCTGTGAGCTTTGCATCTTCACCCTCCCTCTCAGTTGGGTGCAGGTGCCATTCCCCAGCTCCAGGGGGGCAGTGATGGATGGCTGGTGTGTGGCCCCACAGGGCACCCATGCGACAGCTTCCCACTGACCATCCCTGTTTTGGGAGAACATCAGCGGTGTGGGGTCTGTAGTGGGAAAGGTTTGCTTTTAAAAAGGTATGCAGGTGGTAAGCTTGCCAGTTCTTAGGAGATGATTAATGGCTTTGCAGATGTCCAATAATCTAGTTGCATTGGCACAACTACCAGAACCTGTATTTTTTTCCCCTTTTTTGGCTTTTATGCTAAGCTTCAGTCCTCTTAAATCAGAGGGATATTTCTTTTTTGCAATCCAAGGCCTGGATCAGAACTGCAGTAGCTTCGTGAATGCCAGTGTGCAATGGTCTAAGAAAGTTTCTGATCCTGGCTCTTTGCAAGGAACCTTTTCTTTTTCCCATGGGGAAGGCAAGACCATTTGCGATGGTACAAAACCTCTGCTTACCATTTGCTACCATGATTGATGCAGCCTTTCACTGAAGATGGGCTCTAGAGGAGGGTTGTTTAAGTCTTTCCCAAGCAGCTGCAAAAGGCACTCTTGGGGCTGTAATGGGAGAATGAGGCAAGAACTTGAGGTACCTGCTTCAGTCAGAGACATACTACAATCTGGACAATATCTGTGGATTCAGGATGCAGAGCTAGACACTGAGAGACCTTCTGGGAAGGTTGAGGAAGCTCAGGACACCTGTCCTCAGGGAAATGACCCCAAGGTGTCTATAGCAACTCTCACAGAATTTACGTTACTACTAATGTCAACAATGTTTGTCTCTGATACATTTTTGCTAATTTTACATCTCTCTGCAAGACTTTCTCTCCCATCATCATCCCATGAAACGTCTTCCTAGCAGCAAAGCAGGTCCATCATCCTTTTTTTCTTTCATCCACTGTCTTTTGTTACCTTGTCTGGGCCAGTCCTGGTGCTTGTGGGGCACTAGGATGAGTAAGATCTGCAAACTAATTTGAGTTAAAAAATGAACTCAAAAATTGCATTAAATACATTCCACTTGCATAATACCACAACAGTTGTGTTGAGACAACCAAAGAGGACAGAGCCTGGGGACAGGCCTGGCTATGGGTGAGAGGACAGTGGATCTTCACACACAAATCCCAAGTCCAAGTCTGTGGGTTTAGGCAAGTATTCTTCTTGCCGTGTTTACTTTGAATCCCCATGCTTTTAAAATAGTTTTACATTTCCATTTCTCACTGCAGGGTTAATACAGCCCTATGGGCTCACTGGGCATCTCTGGAATTCATCCTACAGTTTGCAGAGAAACAAGATTTGGTGTCTGGGAAGCAACAAAGCTCCTTTATAAGCCAAGAAGATGTGATTATTTTATCCTTAAAATGGATCCACAATGAATAGTCTTGAAGTGTAAACCTTAGCAACTGATGAGGGAATGGAAACAAACCCAAACTGCACAGCTTGACATGTACTGGGCAGCAATTAAAGCAAAGGTGGTGGCCAGCACCCTTATTGTTCCATTGGCAGTCTGCCACAATGTCCTGTCTCTGTGGGGCTGTGTCTGTGCAAAGAGCTCTCCCTCTGCTGTCCTCCTCAGAGGGAGCAGCAGGTCTCCATGTCACATCCATCACTAAAGTCTGACACAAATACACTCTGTGCCACCACCTTGCGCCAAACTTTGGTGACTGTGGGCTGAGACAGGTGGCATCCTGCTGGAGACATGCTTCTCTTGCTATTGCCCCTTGGCAGCAGTTCTGAGGTCTTTTGTCCTGGCTGAGTCCTTCCCATTGCTCTTGAGCAGCCACTCATGGTAATGGACCTGTGCAAGTCCTGGTTGTGAGGGCTTCCAGCCATCCTAGGAAAGGTGGGCAAAGCAGACATGGCAAAGAGCAGCAAACAAAAAAGGTATAAGCAATTAAAATAGGTTTAAAACCTAAGTGAAGGCAAGGGGTATTGTTGTTTAACAGTTAAATTTCCGATTACAGCTAATTGTCCTATAGCCGAGGCTGGAGTTAATGTCATTCACTAATATTAGACATCAGAGTTTAAACAATGGATTGGGAATGAGACTCTTGCCTCTCCATGACTAACATACAACCTGCCAACTACAGTGCCAGAAAAAAAGAACATCATCACTAATTAACTTGATCCTGGCTTCAAGCTATTTAAATGTAATAGTTGCAAGACCTGGTTATGAATAGCAATTAGAGATCCCTTTGCTTGCCTTTTACTGTATTTCAGTTCATCTGTCAAGCTGCATGTGAATCATTAGAGGTTATTTATGACTAGATGAGCTGCAGGGATTAAAACTGGGGACTCACTGGCATATAGATGATAAATATGACATACTGAAGCCATAAAGTACACTTTAAAATGTCACCCTAGTGCAGAACTTCACCTCCACTGGGTACCCTCAGAAGTACTTCAGATGCCCTTGAGGAGCAACAGGTAACCCAGACCAGTGGGAGAAACTTTGTTCTTCCAGAGAATTGCTGTGTTGGAAAAATGGGCTGGGAATGCCATGAAAAAGCCTTGCATGAGGAAAAAAACAAGTTACCTACACAGCAGAGGCTCATGATATGCTTTAGTTTAGGACTTGCTATGACATATGTCTTTGGTTGTGTGCTTGCACAAGGCCACACTTACTTGCAGCTGCCCCTCTCTAATAACCAGAATGAACAACATCGTTTGTCACTTCCTATGGACAAGATTGTAATATATATTACTATTATTTTCATGTGCATCGTCGTAATATTTTAAGTTTTATTTCTTAGCTGCTTTTACAAAGCTAAAATTTAATTTAATTAAGGCCCGCTCCTGCAGGCAGATCTCCTGTACCTGGTCCTGCAGTCTACCTTCCCAGAAAAATGGCAGGCTTGCATGCTGACCTGTCCTCTGCAACAGCCTGGAAACCCAATTACTGCTTGAAGCACTCAGTGTTCAAAGAGCAGTTTAAGTTGCCTGAAAAAGTGATTGTGCATGAGATGTGCAAATGGCACATAGCAGCACTGATTTCCATCTTGCAACTACTCTGTGCACAAAATCTGCTCCAGTCCAGCACCAGAAGCTGGCCTTTGCTGGCCTAATATTGGCATTCTGAAAATAACGTCAAAGTGCTGGATGCCTGAGAGATATGCAGAAATATTTCCATCCTCGATTTTTTTTTTCCTTGAACTTTAATCTTCTCTGCTCCCACTACATGATTCTACCTACCGTATCCAGCTCCATTTGGAATCTGCACACTCTGAACCTCTGTGCAGGAGGTTGCCCAGTGGTTTTCTAACACGGAGGAAGAATAGCAAAAGCGTCAGGAGAAATCCTCCCTCTCCCATCAGCAGAATAGTTTCGAAGGTGGCTGTAACCATGCCAACCCTGACTTGTATTTTTCCATCCAAGCTCTTACTGTGGTGCAAAGCCTCCACAGTGTGCTGAGGAAGGGTTTGTGGAGGCTGCCTGATGTCCCGAGCTGTAGTCTATGCTTGAGCTGCCCAGCTGCAAACAGGTTGTTCCAATAAGCATGTGCTAACTGGGAGATTGGGCAAACTGGAAATTGTGCTGATGATAAACACCTGGATATCCAGCCTAACTCATGAGAATTGGGATTTTATGTAGTTTGGCTGAGCTTCAGTACATGGCCAGATTTCAAGACACATATGCTTTTGTTTGAAACTTGGGGGGGTTCATTCCTTGCTCAGTAGTGGTTGAAAACAAGATAATTTTGGCATTAACCACTAGATGGTCCTCTTTCTCAAAGGAAAAAAAAGTAGTTCCAAAATAAAGCTAGTCCTGGCTTTTCTCTGAAGCTGAATGTTAGTAGAGAACAGTTTCAGTGTAAAGCTAAATGTAATTAGAAGTTCCATATGTCAGCTTGAACTGACATGGGTGTC